ATAGATAAACTTTCACTATCTTCTTCACATTGGCCGCCTCATCATTCTCACCCCGACCACCGTCCATCCATTCCCATGATTCCTCAAAGCTGAAAAGAACCTCTCGACTTACCCGTAGGCCGGAGGGACTTCCCGCCCAGCATTAGTACCTTGGAAGAATGAAACATCCAAAGAACTTAAAGTGAATCACGATTTCTCGCAAATATTTGAAATACCACTGTTAGCAGCAATTATCAACAGATGGCGATATACAGCCTAATGATAGTTATTAGAAAATCACTTTTTATAAGAGTAGCATAACCACAAAAACAGTAATTAATGTTTTTAATGTTCTGCATATGATCAATAACATTTCTATCATCATGATAAGGTTGTCAGTCCTAATACAGGTTGGACACGCACCTCCACTCTTTCCTATCCTGAACTAATCTTCGCATTTCCATTTAGAATCGAAAAATAATGATCGAATTTCAAACATTAAGGAATTCTTCTAAAGATTTAAAATTATAGTCCTTCTTGAAAGCAAATCTGATTGAAACAGTTTTATATTGAAACTGATAATATTCCAATCTGATAGAAGTTTTGATAATAGTAGATACTCGTATAAGTTATACTCTTGCCACCTGTTTCAGCTGTAAATATTATGAACGCCTTTGTACTTTATTATATGTGACCCCTGGTTTGGAGAGTGGTCCCCTTCGTCCCACAGGAGAAGGGCGCATTCTCGAGGGGCCGCATTGATGCTCTTTTTGGCAGCTGTAATCGTTTTTAGATCACTGTTATTCCTATTCATAGAAAACTAGCTTTGCTACATTGAATTATGCGGCCTATGCTTGCTCTTGCGGAGATTTATAGGCTTAGGTAGATGTCTGTTTATTTTTATGGGATTTTCGTGTAGAATCTCTCGTAATAGCCCAAAAGGTCTATTAAAGTACGACAAGGGCAAGTTTATTAAAAGTAAATTACGAATTACGCGTTTCTTTGTCATAATTAGAAAACCTCAAAGATTTTATTTTATATAGGGTTTTTTGTGGAAATGAAAGACAGTTTTCGTATAATAAACAAATACTTTATTAAATTATATATTGACCGTTCTGGTCCAACACCTTTGGCCATCTTTCTGGTAGTAGCATAATTCCACGCTTATAAAATTTTTGGTCTTTGCTGGTAAAAAACTGATCGAGGAAGTTTTTGACCTCCTCATTTGAGGTGAAGGTTTTACCGTCTAAAAAATTTTGGAGTGACCGGAACAAATAATAATCCGATGGTGCCAGGTCTGGAGAATATGGTGGGTGTAGCATTGTATCCCATTCAAGTTGTAAAAGCTTTTGGCGAGTGGCCAAACTTGTGTGAGGTCTCGCGTTGTCTTGGTGAAACACTACACCTTTCCTGTTGATTAGTTCTGACCTTTTCTGTTGAAGTGCATCATTCAGTTTGTCCAGCTGATGACAGTAGACTTCCGAATTAATCGTTGTGTTATCCGGTAAAAACTCAAAAAAAAACGATTCCTTTAAAATCCCACCAAACAGACAGCATCACCTTTTTTAGGTGAATATCGGCTTTGGAAATGGTTTGAGCCGGTTCATCTTTTTTGCTCCATGACCTCTTGCGTTTGACGTTGTTGTATACAACCCATTTTTCGTCCCCAGTGATGATGCGCTTCAAAAACGGATCATTTTCGTGACATTTGAGAAGCGAATCGCAGACGTCAATGCGGCAACACAAATTTCTCTCTGTGAGAGCATGGGGAACCCATACATCGAGCTTCGAGAATAATTCCAGGCCTTTCAAGTGGTCATAAACTGTTGAATTTGATAAATTTAACCTCAATCTGATCTCACGTGTTGTTATTCGCCGGTTCACATCAACTAATGTCTTTATCGCGTCTTTATCAGCTTCAACGGGCCTTCCCGAACGTGGTTCATCTTCGACATCAAAATTTAGCGAACCAGTTCTGGCACTGGCGTACTGTCAACACACCTTCACCATACACATCAGTCAATTTCTTTCTGGCTTGAACAGCATTTTTACCCTCTCTGTAGTAAAACAGTAAGATATGTCGAAAATGCTGCTTATCGCTCTCCATATTTAAAAGGGCACCAACCAAAAACTACTGCGTAGAATTAATTGGAATTTTTCACACACAAGCCTTGCTATATGAGCTCTCAAAGCATATAAAAATTATACCGCTTAAATGTGAAGTTGGGTGCAAAAGAATACAATTAAATCCTCTGTCGGGAAAAAACGAAATGACTTTCCGAACAACCCTATAGATTTATAAAAAGCTTTTGACAATATTAAATGGGAGAAGATATTAAATAAATATACTTAAAAACGTAGGGATGAGATACGAGAACAATTCATTGCAATTAAACATTTAATTGAACAAAGGTCGATAATCCAGATGCATATCAGCAAAGTGGTCGGGTGTACTTGACGAGGGTTGCAAATGAGCAATTTTCCGCAATATTCCGTATTCATGCACTTAATCAAGGTCCGGTCGACTGATTACCATTGTAAATTACTGTTCCAGTGTACTGCGCTTCAGTTATACGACAGTAAGATAAAATTTACGATGGTCAGTTCGGCCCAACTGAATCTCAACAAGCCGTAAACATATGCACAAAGGGGTGCACAAACCAACGGGGTTACTAACACTTCAAAAACGCCTCGTCAACATTAATAATTATTCGGAAGTGTTTTCTTTTAGTGCACGATTGCATCCGGAATAATTTAACACGGTCTCGTGACCAGGACGCAGTGCTTTGCTATTTTATTTTGCTGTCTCAATTAATAATGAACTTCCAAAAACCAACATTGATCTTATCAAAAGACTGTTGTTAACGTAATACCAGTATTAGTATTTAATGAAACAACAACAGATCAAAAGGAATTAAAGAAAATTTATCCAGATAAGCGAAAGTCACCACCAGAGATAAAAGCTTACATGTAATTTTACTATCAAAAATTTCCCAAAAACTAAAACATCCCACATCCACAGTAATCTAATCCAGGTCTACATCTACTTCCTTCAACTCTAGTCTCTAACTATCCCTTCATGCCTACCACAAAAAAAACTTTTGGGTGTTTCATTCCCACCAGCCAATAATGCTGGTGGACGGGCAGTCTACGCCGGAAGGTAGAGCGGAAGGCCCTCTTCAGCCTGCTTTCAAGAATCGTGGGAATGGGTGGGCGGTGGTTCGGGTGAGAAAGTTGAGACGGATGAAATGAAGACAGAAGAGAATGAAACATTATCTCTGGAATATTACTGCCCCAGCATTTGCCTAAACCACAGAAAAACTTGGATCAAGGCCAACGGACCCGGAAACGAACTGGCGTCCTCCCGAATGCTAAACAATGGTCTAAAACACTTTAAAACTTTTGGGTGTTTCATTCCCACCAGCCAGTAATGCTGGTGGGCGGGCAGTACCTCCGGACTACGCCGGAAGGTAGGGCGGAAGGCCCTCTTCAGCCTGCTTTCAGGAATAGTGGGAATGACTGGGTGGTGGTTCGGATGAGAAACATGAGACGGACGAAATGAAGACAGAAGACAGGGAAAGATTACCTGTGGAATATTACTGCCTCAGCATTTGCTTAAGTGATCCAAGGAAACCACAGAAAAACATGGACTAAGGCAAACGGACCCGGAATCGAACCGGCGTCCTCCCGAATGCTAAGCAATGGTCTAAACCTCTAGGCCATGCCGCTCGGTGCAATGGTCTAAACCTCTAGGCCATTATTGTTTACTTCCACAACGCCTTCTGTTCTCCAACTCTGTCCAATACCTCCTCATTTCTAACCTTCTCTATCCACGCTGTATCCATCACGCGCCTGTAACTAGGTATGTGTTATACTCCTAGTAATACTGAATGCATGTATTGTTTCACAATTATTCTCTTCAGTTGTAATAAAAATACTCACAAAAGTCACGAATTAGAAAAGCTTATTAGGGCTTTGCAATAATGAAAAGGCATACCTAGCGTGCATCAAATTGCCCAGTCTGCGACCAACCATTAATATTTAAACAACTAAAGAAGTCGATTGTGGTAGACAAGTCAAATCAAACAAAGTTAGAAATAGTAGACTATACATGTGTTTAACTTTAGGAGTTTAAAGAACATTTGAAGCAGAGTATCATTCATTTCTTTTGTATGTTATACAAACACATACGTGTATTAAACGGTATCAAATATACCTACATTACAAAGAAGTTACTTTTAGTTAGTATATTGTGACCAGTTGTGAAACCTTCAAGTATTCCTGCTGGCAGGGACCGGTCAATAGTCGGCAAACTGAGTGACACATAATTGCCTGCTTAACAATAGGATTTCTCAAAATGTTGAGAAGAATGAAGACTGTTCCACAGAATTCGATAATAAATTAGATAGGCTTAGGAAGGAGGGCCGAAATTGGTCAGTTAGTTAGTATATAGACAGTTGAAAAGAGATATATATAAACGGTGCGAATTAGAGATGAATACCAAGTGATACAAATATGGTGATGAGTAAATGAGCATAAATAGTCTGATATAAATAAGAAGAATTTTATGTGCCTAGTTACAGTTACCATGTAATGTAACATAAATACCCATTGAATAAATGAAATTAATACCAGAAGAAGAGTTGATAATTTTATTGTATCTCGTACTCCAAAAACATATCCTATATTTTGGCATACAGACGGACGGTAAGACAGACATTCAGTGACGAAATGACAAGATTACTGCTGTTTGCAATTTGGCTAAGAAACCTTAGAAATATTGCCAATAAAATATAGGACTGCTTAATGAATGCAGTGCGTGTTTTAAAAAGTGTTCAAGTCTATTGTGTACATATCAGTCGTTTATTGTGGAATGCCTTTTGTTAAAATTGCATTTCATCAAAGTATCTTTATCATTAAACATTCATTGTCCATAAAAGCGTTTATATTGATAATGCCTGTGGCTATCTATTAACCGTATGATGACACGCACTGTCAATTGTACATTATGTAGTAGGTACTGTGGAAAGCGGTTATAAATAAATATCTCCATAAATATTATGAGGTGCATCTCTTTACTTGATTTGCTTGTTTTGATTTTTCTTGTAGAAGGTAAGCGATTTTATTTTTTCAACTGCTGTGAAACATAACTATAGAAAACATTTAAACCCAAAAATCTACAGAACGTTTAGAGACCTTAAAGGCGTTTCAAAACCTACGTTGTCATCCTCAGTTAGAGATTTAGGGTTAGTCCGTAGTTGTGGATGACGCTTTGGGTGTCGGTTTTGCAGAATTTTGGGTTGCAACTGTTGACAATAATTCTTTAAGAATCGATTATTCGATTAATTATTTATTGTAAACTATTTTTGTGTATAAATACCACAGTCTATTTCATTTTCAGGTAATTTATGCTTTTGCCTTTATAAGAAAATGATTGAGAAGTTCCTCAGTAAACCGTACTGGATAGAACTGTGCAGACAAGAGAAGTTTCGTCGATATAAAGGAAATGAATTTTTGTGTATTTTCATTCCGAGTATTGAAAAGGCTTTAAAAATGTGTAAACATTCAAAATTCCGTAACCGCAACAAGCCGCAATGCAGCATTTTCGAAGGAATAAATATTATGGAAATTGGCAACAGGGTCCCGAGGAATAAAGATGTTTGTGCTTTTTAATCAGTTTTCCGCTCTTATTGTATTATATGCCCTAATTAGGAACATGTAGAAAATAAATAAATATATAAAAAAAAAGAGGTTTTGTTTATACGAAAACACTGTAAATTATCAAAAAAAAGATACGGGAAAACTTTGATATACTTTCAGTTTGACCGGCGCAAAGTAGAAAAGAACAACACTAGGTTAGAAAAGAAAGGAGACAACTCTCGGCCAAACTCATAACCGGTGAGGAGCGTATAATCCGTACAGTACTCCACGGAAAAATTGACCATTTTATCCACTACAATTGCATTGCTCAAATGTGCTGTTATTGGTACCAATTACTACTGAAAATATCAACGAGATGTTTATTTATACTTGAAGACATATTAAAGGCTTCAACGCTTGTTTTCGACTCGCACTACTATTCATGATTGAACAAAACTTTTGGCAGGTACTGTATGAAAAAGTATGTTAAATAGTCGAGAGTATGAGCTTTTTTCTCCCTGCCTACGATTTTTCCAGCGCGGGTGGTCATGTAAAAAATCATTGAATTTGATCTCCACGTTGAAGCTAACAGACCGCAGAAAGAAATGATCTTCGGTGACGTTTTGAAATTATCATTATTTTGTTTAAGTGTCAAGAATTGAAATTTTAATTTCAAAATTTTTTTACACTCCGTTGCTCTATACTTTCGATCTCTAAAAATGAAAACAAGTAAAAATTGTTTTCAACTTTGCGGCTTTACGAAAAAAAAATATATATTGTTTAACTTGATCTTAGCGGTAAACAAAGGCAATGTAGGTAAGTATTAGTTGGTGGGACTGAAAGGGCCCATAAAATTCCTTCCATCTTTTGGCAGTGCAAGTTGATTTCCCAGGAGTCAGTCGCCTCGTTTCCCCTTTCTTTTCTCTCAACCACAAACCATTTCGAGCACGAATGTTATTTGCAGTTTGTTGTTATTCGCAACCGCGCCAACTTGATGACCGTCACGTTAACCTTCGTCCAGGTTTTACGTAGAGACCAATCAACATGATTGCCGTCCGATTCTACCTTTTAAAATATTCCTCTTTTAATACACTAACCGTACCTATATCTCATTCAAATGCCTTTTATAAAAAATTTTAAAGCTCTGTTCAAAAAATTTCAAATTCCAATGTAACACAGGTGTAGGCCCAATAAAGACCCTTGCAGCTAACTCATCCGTAATCTTCTCGTATATCAGAAGGTGAAGGACAGAAGAAAACATGACGTTATGGAAGTCAATAACAATTGGGGAGATGGGTTGGTAAGACACCTTCTCAGACATGAAGGGCTAGTTAGAATTTTATTAGAATCAGAAGCAGGATTTAAGAGGGATAAAGGTAGATCTAGACTAGACCAGCTTTGAATAAAAGCAGAGATTGGTTATGATAAGAAGAGTATTCAGGCTGCAAAACTTCTACTGCATTTTATAATTTATTAGTTATTTGAAATCATTTATTTTCGATAGAATTATTTGACAGCACCTTGTACATGGTAATTTTGTTGGTTTACTGCATGAATGTAAATTCATTAAATGCTCTAGGGTCATAATTCATCTCGTTTTCTCGGAGTCTGTCCCTCCATTATTTATTCGTGTTCGGTGAATTACATACATGGGGACCGGCCGGTGGCCAGTAGAGCCCTCTGGTGCTCAATGTCGTGAACCATAAACTGCCCTCCTGCTTCTCCCGTTTAAACGACACTGCTCGAATTATTGTCACTGCATGGTGAAATATTAAAACGCTGCCATGATAACCACCCTTACAGATAATGGATAAAGTATCTGCCATTCCATGAAAAATGATGAGGTTGTAAAATCCACAAAAATTAACATGGTTTTCGTGGGAAGTGTTTTTAATCAGAATCGAAAATCGCTTCTATCAGAAAGCTCATCTTCGTGTTAGATAAACGTCAGGAGTCCATTGTAATGCCATGTCATTTTGGTTGTTCTAGCAAAAGAAGAATGGAAGGATCATCAGAATTTTTTGCGACCAGCCGATAAGGATAATGCCAAGTCATTTTGATTGTTGTAGCAAAAGAAGAATGGAAGAATCATCAGATTTTTTTTGCGACCAACCGGTGGGGATGTACGCCTATTTGACGGATTCCAATTGTAATTAAATTTATTAAATAAAATAATAAACGTTAGGGGTCCATCATAATACTAAGTCATTTTGATTGTTGGAAGAATCGTCAGAATTTTTTTTGCAACCAGCCGATAAGGATGTACGCCTATTTAACGGATTCCAATTCTAATTAAATTTATTACTCCTTTCGGATATTTGATTTACATCACATTCGTATTGGAAGTAAGTGTCGGTGTGTGAAGTAGTGCATGGTGAATATGAACTTTGGAATGCCTGTTTGGCGGACAAGTGGATGTGAATTGGGAGACTTTGTATATCTTCAATGTCGGTGTGGCGAGTTGGAAAGCGGCGAGTGAGGAGGCAATAAAGCGAGGTAATTCCATCAATATTCAAGCAGGTCGGTCGGTGAGGCATCAAATTTATGTGCCAATGTTTATGGACCCGAGGGACCGGAGCTTCCTGGACACACACACACCACTAGCACTTCTTCTACTCCGCAATTCCTTAGTTTTCCAAAGTAACCGCTTTATTTTCGTCCATATCAAACGGAGAAATGTTATGTTCATAAAGTTAAAATGTATCACTTTATTCCAAAGAACGAATTAAATAGATTCAATGTACAATTCCATCTCACAATTATTAACGAAGGAATACTCTACACCATACAGTTCAAAGATACAACTGTCCTGGTTAGAACGTTGGGATTCTACAATCTGGTTAGAAGAGAAGCTCTGGAAATTGAACAACATCCTAATAAAATAAACAGAGATGATGGCTTACATATCAGCAAAGCTTGGAAACCGACATTGAGAAATAAACAATGTGCTACCAACCGAAGAGGACCGGATCAACATAAAAACAACATGGCCGCAGTGAACCATAAAACCACTTAGCGTAACGACTCCAGTTTAAGAAGGGTAATCCGTTCTCAAACTGCATCAGTTACGACTCTGTATCTGCCCAGTCACCACTGAAGGTGCCGTAAGCAAAGAACGGCGAAACGCCTGGAAAAGCAAGATTCCACGGACCACGGCCAAAAAGATCGGAAGAAAACACAGCATCGAAATACTCTTTTGCCCTAGGCTACAGTCAATTGGACAACGATATTTCGGCAGTACGAGGTAGTCCTACAGGAAGTGTCTGATTTACTGGTAAACAGTATATGTCCTACTTTTGCATTTGGTATTTTTGCAACTTTTGACTAATAATTATGGAAGAAAATACCATATAGAAGGAGATAATAATTGTGAAATGATATTAAACAGGAGGCTGTATGTAGTCGGGTTCATTTGACGTAGACGAAACTCCGCGAAACGGGGTAGACGTCGTGAGCCAGTGTATTACATTGAGCCGCTCTAAAAGCGGAAACAAAGGAGAATCCGAGTAAAAAGTAATCTGGCAGCATCTTGCTTTGCATTATTCAGTAACAAGGCAGCGGCGCTCTGTAAGCACGAATCGTGCATATTGTATGCACCGTCTTTCTGACAGCTTTTTAATAACCTTAAACGGCCTTAATGAGACCAGTCCTACGTAAGCCGGCGCAAATTTTGACACCCTTTATGCTCGCCCGAAAAATCTCCCTAGCCTTTTGGATTGGCTAACAAAGTAACTTTTATCTTTAAAATTAATTTCACATGGCATAGCAGACTTGTAATTCACGTTCAGTAGTACCAATTGGATATGACCGATCCAAGGATGTACCCACCATATGTGAAAAATAGAAGTCCCCCCAAAGCATCATCCGGTAGCATATTCGGGTAATCGAAGGAGAGGGATACGTTTTTAAATAGTAAAGCAGGCGGTTAGCCTACTAGGAATATGGAATCGACATAGAAGGTGATAGAGTCCTATTTTTCTTTTGGTTACGTATTCGAGCTGGTGCTCAAAGATTTACATAAATGTAGACCTTGATCCTATGCTTACGATTGAAGAATGAACACGTGCATTGGGTTAAAAAGGGTGCCGATCGATATCTTGACTGAGTCTCATTATTACTTCAGAAATAGTTTTGGATAAAAGTTGTATAAATGAGGGTATATTTTTAAGATATCTACTTGCACCAGTAGAAATAAGGACCCTGCAAAGAAGGAAGAACAGGAATGTAAGATTTTTAATTTAAATAAAGCTGTAAAAATGATTGCCAGAGCCTGCTTCCTGATGATAGTCACTTGCATCGAATTAGCCCAAATGAACCCAGGGAAACAAAAATGTAAGACCTTAAATGCAATCAAAGCCTGTATGGATGATCTACAGAGTATCAAAAATAGAAATCTAGAAGCACTTCGGCACGTAGATGTCAATTAAGTGATTATATTTACCATGGTAATTTCAGGCTGAGAGGCCCAGTGAATATGGTCATGTATTATATCAGTGAGCTGGTAAAGATGTATAGAATCATAATGCACCATGATTTAGACGAATTGTTATCAAATAGGTAAATTGGTTGCATTTGGAATGATATATAAGATGCTTAGATACTCGATTACATCTACAGTGGTTTCATGAAGGGTCGAATATTTAAGGTATAATGTAGGTACATTTTACAGGAACAAGGATGATGAAAAGTAAACCAGAGAAACGTGGGAAATCAATGAATCTTTTTAATAGATTCGATGCTACGTGAAACTTTCATTATCACTCATTATGAACAATCAATAGGACCAATAACAATTTAATTTCTGGACATTGGCAGCTAATTCATTTTAATGTCAGTAATTAAACCACAAAAACCACTATTTAGCACCCCATATTCTTTGCTCCTACTCTTCTTAATTAATCCAAAATAACCAAAGGATAAAAATAAGTAATTCAAGAATCATTCCCATTTTCATACAATGCAATGTGACAATGTAACAGTTTTAACAGAAATAGAAAGAGAAAGAAAAAAAAATGTAGAAAATGTTATAATATTTAATTAACTTCCTTAAATAAAAAGA